AAAAAAAAAAAAAAAGAGAGAGAGAAGAACTTACACAAGAAGGACATTTTATTTATTATTTAGTATTATTTGTGCTGCTGGAGGTTGAAATCAGGGCTCCACACATGCTAAGCACATGCTCTACCTCTGAGCTACATCCTTAGCCCCTGAAATATTTTATTTTTCTCTCATTTAGGTGTTGGTAGTCTGGGGTTGGTTGGTATGGCAGCTCAATTACACCAGAGATCCAGGATTCTTCTCTTTTTGCTGCTGTCCTCAGTAAGTGGCTTCTGCCTCATGGTGTGAAGTCTGTCCTCATATCTGCTTTTCATCCCACATGAGGAAGGAAGGGTGAGGGAGCCTGTCTCTTTCCGTTAAGGACACATCCCAGAGGTTTCACAAGATAATCTCTGCATACAGTCTCTGGTCCGATATTTAGCCACATACATCATCTCTCCTAACTCAAAACAGATTGCAATATGTTATTTCAGGAAACCACGAGTCTACCTATTTAAAAATTTTTTTTTCCTCATTGAGTTTATTGGTACATTTTAGGAATACAGTAAAGTTACATTCTTTATTGTGATCTTGTAAATGATTGGGACCTTTAAATGACAGGTCTTGGTTCTCAGTTTTTCCCCTTGTCCCTACCCTCCCTTCACACCCTCCTCCCCTCCCCATTTACAAACACTCTATTTCCATTTTTTCATTTTCTCATATTTTTTTCTTTTCCCTTATTCCCTTTCCCCTACCCTTCCCACTTTCCCTACACCTTTAGCCCTTTTCTTCCTATTTCACATTGTCAATTATCTCATTAGGATCTTATGTACTATTATAGTTTATTCACACCAGAGAAACTATTCAGTATTTACATATGTGTGACTTATTTATTTCACTTAGGAGTATATACTCAATATGTATCCATTTTCCTAAGAATGAATCTAATTTCTCATTTTTTATGGCTGAGTAGTATCCATGTTATAGAAAAACCACATCTTCTTTATCCAGATTCCAACTGATGGTCACAACACCATGAGGCCCAACAGACCAAATCAAATAGGCAAAACAAGAAATTATAAGGAGAGGGTGAAAAATTAAAAAGAGTCAACAAAAGGGCAATAACATGACAATAATAAGTCAGTAATATCAGTTATAACCATCAATGTCAATGGCCTCAATTCACCAATCAAGAGAAATGGACTGACAGAATGGATTAAGAAGCATAATCCAACAATATGTTGCATACAAGAAACATACCTAGTGCAAAAATAAGCCCATAGACTGAAAAAAGTGAAATGATGGAAAACAATTCTCCATGTGACAGGAGCCCAGAAAAAAGCAGGGGTAGCAATCTTATTTGCAAACAAAGTAAATTTCAAACCAAAACTGATTAAAAGAGACAAAGAAGGCCACTACATCCTTGTAAAGGGAACAATTCAAGAGTCTACCTATTTATTAATAATTAGGAAAGTGAGATCTGTTATTAGGAGCCAACCAGAAGTTTCTTCCATAGAGTGTCTGTAGAGGAACATCAAGTACAGATGAAGATTAAAATCAAGTCTGGAAGTAAAAAATTTAAAGCTAATGAATGTTAGCTAAACCTTGGAGAGTGAGATGGTCTGAGAGAGTGAAAAGGGAGAAAAAAGGATCAAGGTGAGATCTGATGATGAAGAAGCGGATTCGGAAGGGACCAAAGAAGAAGGATGAAGCAACTGGATGGATGCTCAGGACATGTGCCCAGGAGGAGCAGTCAGCAGTGCATTGGGGAAGTGATGCAGCTATGGTCTGAGTGTGTCAGGCTAAATGTTGAAACAGAACTGCATGTGGCATGTGACATGTGACAGTGCTAAGAGGCAGTCTTCAGACAGTGATTAAATCAGGAGGATAGAGCCCTCGAGGAAAGGATTAGGGGATTTATCAAAGGCTTGAGGGAGGGAGTTTTTTTCCCCTTTCTTTGTGTCACCTGAGGACACAGAAAGAAGCCCTCATTAAATATTGAGCACTGACATCTTGACCCTTGTACTTCCCAGCCTCCAGAACTGTGAGAAATAAACTTCTGTTGTTGATAGACTACTCAGTCTGTGGTATTTTATCACAGCAGCACCAACAGTCTGACATATTGATTAAGACAAAGAACTGGTCTTTAAAAACATAAGAAGTGGTGGTTGTCCTATTTCGAGTCCAAGACAACTTCCAGTCTTTTTCTGGAAGCAGTTCTGACTGTGTGAGCAATGACCTTCTGAACCTCGGAATGTGGGCAGCTCTCAGTGTAAGCATTGTTATGGTTAATTTAAGCTCAGGTCTGCTGAAAAGATACACTTCCCCACCCCTCCTCAGTGAAGGACAAGGTCACACTGGAGCACTGAGGTTGTAGAGTCTCTGTCACTATAGTCAGGTGATTGGGGGCCTTACAAGTTCCAAGGACTGGAAAAGAAATGCAGCCAGCAGGCTCAAAAGATTAAGGGTATAGCCTTTTCCTTTTGTCTGGTTCTAGGAAAGGAGTCAAGGTAACCCAGAAGTGGCCCTTTGGTCTTGGTAGCACAAGCAAGATGATGAAGGGAACGGCACCATTTGTGAAGTGTTGTAATAAGAGGTACATGTCGTGCCTCTTCTGCTGCTCTAAGGCCTACCACCCTCAGAAGCCGCCCTTTGGCAAATGTGGCTACCCTAACAAGCACAAGAGAAAGTATAACTGGAGTGAAGAAGCTCCGAGGTGAATGAGGTCCATAAAGATTGTGTATCACAGACTCAGGCATGGATTCCGTGAAGGAACAACAACTAAACGCAAGAAAGTAGCTGTTGCAGCATCCAGGGCATCTTGAGAATTTCGACAACTACTCAAAATAATGCATTGGTTTTAAAAGATTACAAAAAGATAAACACAGAAGCGGACTCAAGGTGTGCACAAAGATGTGTACAAGGATGTTAACTGTAGCCCTGCTTGCGATAAAGATTGGATGAGCTGGAGGGTGGACACCTACATTATGCTACCAATAGTCTCTCAATGGACTTCTTTCTGAAGGCAGCTCCTTGACCTCAGCTCCCAGATATCGGCTGCTCTGCTACCTCGGGGCAAGACCGTGGGCTAGTGCAAGAGAAGAAGGGCAGGAGAGAGGAAAAAAGAATTTATGGAAGATGAGAAAAAGAGGAAAAAAGATGACATGAGAGAAGCAGGTGCTTTGCCCTGTTGCATCAAGGGCCTGATTATCTGCTCTCCTATTTGGGGCCTTCTCCAGCTGCTCATTTCTCAACCTTACACACTCTTGGAGCTTTCCACGGCAGCAGCTGAGGGTTAGTGTGGGGTGTGGTGAAACTAAAAGTGTCTCTGAAACCACAAGGACCTGCCTTTCTCAAGCTACTTAGCCTATCTGAGAGTCATTTTTCTCACCTGAGAGATCGTTTTCTCCGCCTTTCAGGATTGCTTTGGGGGCTAGAAGGGGCACATGCCAGATCCGGGCACCGAGGAGGTCTTGCATAACCCGGGTTAGATGCTTTTCTTCTCTCTGAGGCCGTCTGCGAGTCAAAGACCTCGGAAGTGCTATCTAACAGAATATTTCGCCATAATGGCTTTGAGCACTTGAGATATGTCTAGTGTAACTGAAGGACCGACAGATTTCGCTTTTTGTTGTTTTTTGGTGCTGGGGACGATATCCATAGGGCCTCATACATGCTAGGGAAGGGCTCTGTCAGTACCATTGAGGCCCCCTGCTCCCCGCCCCCCGGGCCCTTTGCTTTGCTGTAAATAGCTGCGGCAAGTGGCTATCCTGTTGGCTGGCACAACCTCTAGGACGGTAGCCTAGACTAAACGGGAGTTTTTCTCAGCCGCTTATTAGGGTGACTCATGAGTGTGGACACTGCGAGGCGCATCTACGCTGTAATTTCTTCCCCTAACAGGCTCCCCCCGAATGAATCCAGAGCAAGTGGGAACGCCCAGGACTGCAGTTCAGCACCTAGCAGTATGAGACGGCAACACCAAGGACTCCACCTACTTCTGCTCCTCTCGCCCCCTACTCTGTCCGCTCTGTTCATCCAGTCTTGAGCCCCGGGGAAGTGGGATGGGAACCTTCCGGGTCTAAGCCACTCATGGCCACTGGCTCCTTTATTTTTTTCAGCAGCCGGCGAGGCTCTGCGTTTCCTCGTCCATTTCACAGACGAGAAAACTGAGGCTCCCGGAGGTTTGGGAGAACCTGAGGGCCAACGGAGAGAGAACTTTGTGGGGCTTCAGTGGTGACGCCAGACATTTCCGTGGGTCAGGTTGTCAGGGTGCGCGGGGAAAGTGGCCGGTAAATATTTGGGGTTGTAACCGGGGCTCTGGCGACAAGTCGTCACTGCGGTTCCCAGGCGCGCGCGTGG